GTGACCAGCACTGCAATTCAAGTCTTAATCTACGGACTAGTGACCAGCACTGACAACTCAAGTTTAATCTACGGACCAGTGACCAGCACTGACAATTCAAGTCTTAATCTACGGACCAGTGACCAGCACTGACAACTCAAGTCTTAATCTACGGACCAGTGACCAGCACTGACAACTCAAGTCTTAATCTACGGACCAGTGACCAGCACTGACAATTCAAGTCTTAATCTACGGACCAGTGACCAGCACTGACAACTCAAGTCTTAATCTACGGACCAGTGACCAGCACTGACAACTCAAGTTTAATCTACGGACCAGTGACCAGCACTGACAATTCAAGTCTTAATCTACGGACCAGTGACCAGCACTGACAACTCAAGTCTTAATCTACGGACCAGTGACCAGCACTGACAACTCAAGTCTTAATCTACGGACCAGTGACCAGCACTGACAATTCAAGTCTTAATCTATGGACCAGTGACCAGCACTGGCAATTCAAGTCTTAATCTACGGACCAGTGACCAGCACTGACAACTCAAGCCTTAATCTACGGACCAGTGACCAGCACTGACAATTCAAGTCTTAATCTACGGACCAATGACCAGCACTGACAATTCAAGTCTTAATCTACGGACTAGTGACCAGCACTGACAATTCAAGTCTTAATCTACGGACCAGTAACCAGCACTGACAATTCAAGTCTTAATCTACGGACCAGTGACACGGACAAGCTTGCTCGTTTCTTCCTCACATTTGCTGTTCTTTTATTCCCACGTTCCATAATAATTTCTTACATTAAAGGAATACAAAATGAACAACTCGATGACCAAGACACACGCAACACACCTGTGCAACACAAAGATACCCCAGGTGTTGCACACGTGTCTTGTTTATCAATGCATTTCTTGCTGTACAAACCTGCTTGTTCAATTTATGGATTATTCTCTGGTGTGGGATGTTGCCAACTGCCTTCCGGTGGTCCAGGAAAACGCACTCCACCACCCATCTCTTTCCTCTTTCATGGAACTTCGGTTTCTTTTTATTTGCTTATCGTTTACTACGTTTACTCCGAAAAATATTATGTTTGGAGAGGTGTGCAAGAATGGTATATAATACCGACGAGATGAAATTAAGACACTTGTGCAACATCTGGGTATCTTTATTTTTTGGGAATCAAGATTCCATGATGTTGCAGTGTCTGACAAGACACTGGAACATAGTCTCCACGTAGTTCCAAGACTACGGTGCTCTTCGCACCTACTCCAAGGTTGAGGGACTGATTACCTCATCTTCTGTATATAGTCCTACTGTCTTCAAGCTATGTCCTAGAATTTGTATTGATAAAGCCACTGGATGGCGAAACATCTACAATAAAGATACCCAGATGTTGCACAAGTGTCTTAATTTCATCATGTTTGGAGAGGTTGAGGGGAGGGTTTTCTTTTTGTTTTGTTTTTTTTCCGGAAGTTGTCAAGTGATAACTTGAGAAAGTCTCTTCCGGTCGGCTTCAAACACTAATGTTGCTTAGAATAGGGTTTCAAAACTGGCGGGCCACATGCGGCCCGCCACAAGATTTTATGCGGCCCGCAGCGACTTGAAATGTTTGTAAATAGTAAAGCGAATGAACCCTCCTTTTCAGACACTTCACTTAAAGAATATTATTGCTTGTAACAATTGATATGTCAAAATTTGCTCAAATTTTAGCTCTAATCTTTTTATTTTTCAGATATATCCTTCAGTTATGGAAGGAGAAAGGAACAGAACAGTGCAGAGTGCCGCTTGTTTAATGAAGAATGAGGCGTCAAGTACTTCTCAATACAAGCAGGTGATAAAGCCTTGTGTGTTCTTTGCCATGAAACTTGTAGTTTTGAAGGAGTACAATGTACGTCGGCACTGTTAGACCAAACAAAAACCAAGGTATTTCTAATTCACAGGAACACAACGTTCGGAAAAAAAAAATGCATGAATGCAACGCAGGCTGCTTTCCCAAGAAGGTTTTTATTATGCAGAAGAGAGCCGAAGATTGAGACACTTATGCAACATATGGGAATCTTTATTGATGAAACGTTTCGCCACACAGTGGCTTCATCAGTCCAATACAAAACAGAAGTGTGTTAGGAGAGAAAGAGTTTTGTGTTGGACTGATGAAACCACTGTGTGGCGAAACGTTTCCTCAATAAAGATTCCCATATGTTGCATAAGTGTCTCAATCTTCAACTTGTCGTTTTTTAAATCATTTATCACATTTGTCAGATACTGCAACATCATGGGATCTTGATATAAAGAATTCTTCAAAACTTGTACAACCTTTGGACGAAGACCTACTTCGACTATTGGATGGTACCACTATGACTCCGCCTCCTCCTCCTTCCCCTCACCTGACTACAGTATAAAAGCCACGTCTACGGCCCTATGCTCAAATTACTCCTCTCCTTACACCCTTCTAATTTATATTGGACTGATGAAGCCACTGTGTGGCGGAACGTTTCCTCATTAAAGATTCCTATATGTTGCAAAAGTGTCTCAATCTTCAACTAGTCGATTTTTAAACCATTTATCACAGAAGAGAGCTACAAAGTAGCTTATGCGTTAGCTAAAAGAGGGAAGCCATTCACCTATGGTGATCTGATCAAAGAGTGTATGATGAAAGCAGTGGCAAAGTTATGCCCAGAAAAAGCAAATGTGTTCAAAATCCTCAGTCTTGAACCAAATACTGTTGCTTGTAGAATCCAGTCAGATGACATGCTCAAATAAAAGTGTAAAGAAGGAAATCTGATCAAATTTTACAGATTTTTACAGCCTGAACAGTTTCCAAATTTGAAGCCATTTACTTGTGGACTGGTATCAGTTTTTGGTACAACGTACCTTTGCGAAAAAACATTTTCAGAAATGAAGTATGTCAAGTCCTAATATCGCACAAATTTATCTGATGAACATTTGAAGTCTCAGTTCAGCAATATTTTGAAATTAAAAAAAACCAGTTTCATCATTTGACATTTTTACTCATATATCATTTCTCAGTGTAAGCATTATAAGTATTGTTTCTTGGTAAATGTCTCATTTCTATTTTGTTCTGAATTATACCATGCTGATTAGGAAAAGGATCCAAATAAAACTTATTCATTCATTTATAAGACCGAATTTTTCTTTGGCCCGCTAAAATGTGTAAAATATATGACGTGGCCCTCGTAGTGAAAGGTTTGGAGATCCCTGGCTTAGAGGAAGAGTGATAGCTTGAGAATGCCTCTTGCGATTGGCTTCAAATGTTCAACACCATGAATTTTAATTGGCTAAAGCTCGGATTGTTATTGGGTAGCAATGAGGTGTTATTGGGTTAAGTTCGTATTGTTGATTGCCAAATTTATTTGAGTAATTGACTGATTTTTCCTCATGTGATAATTTGAGAATACCTCTTCTGAACGGTCTTAAATTTATACCTTTGGTGTATCTAATTTCTAGCAAGGACCCTATTAGTTTTGAACTGTATAGGGTTCAATTTGCCACTTCTGTTAAAGAAATCATGGTTCGCTGTAAGTGTTGAGTCTGATCGACTCACCACTTACAGCAGTGGTCTATGTATTGTAATAAGAGGTTTAACTTAGTTGTAGCATGTGTTAGCCTGTTAAATATATTGAAGAAATTAGGCTATTGGTTTCTAGGGACTGGGATCATGTGACTTGGGAGATTCTTTTCTCAAATCTTGCAGTGGAATACCGAAATTGATGTTGTGGTTCATGAGTGACACGGATGTAGGTGTTAATGGGTCATGGGCTATCTGACTTGCGATATCCACGTCGTAGTGGTTAGAGCACTAGGCTTGCCAAGGACTCGAATCCTGTTTGTTCCGAGAGAATGGTTTGTTAACCTTAACGACCATGGGTTAAGTACCACTCTGGTTTGAAACGAAGAGTCGGAAGTTGAGCTCTTGAAGGAGGCCAGAAGCATTCACTCCCCCACACGTGCCACGGACACTTGCATGAATGTGTGTGTGTGCAGGGATCACGGACTGAAGCAAGTAGTGGCCAGGCTAGCAACAGTTCCAACAGGACCTGTTAGGAGTCTTGCGTGGCCTGTGTTGCTCACGGAGGTGTCAGGGAGGAGCAGAGGAACCCTCAGGCGGCTCTCAGATACTTGGTAAATGTTGGGTGACGATTGCTGATGGTCATTGCATGTTGATAGGCCGCTAGTTCCCGGCGCCCGGTATAGAGGCTTGAGGCGTGTTCCTACTTGAACCAGGGTCATTTGCCGCCGCCAGTCTTAAAGCTCAGGTCAGGCGAGGTGGAGGTTGGGGGAGGATGAGCACGACTTGGGGTTATGAGGGATAGACAAGGCGGATTCGCACGAAAATGAACTTAGCGGTCCAGCTTACTTGCGTCAGAATTCCGAATCATTTCATGTCAGTCATCGGTAGACCTAACCATTGCGGGGTTGCCTCTCACTGACTCTGATTTTCATTCACAGCCACGCTACGAGCGACCACTCAAAAATCAATACACCACACACCCGTGACGTCACGGGTAGGCGGGATTCCCATTGGCTGATGGGGCGAGTGATAGCATCCCATTATTTATGAGAACGAAAGCGCTCTACTTGACGCCGGCGCAACATTCCAGGCGGGATGGGAGTGCTGCGGCTCGTGTATCTATCCGCGCCAGGGTTCCAGTAATCCCGCGGTCTTATGGAGCACCTTCCGGTAGCTAGTGATGTCTAATGTGGGAGCCACAGGCCGCAGTTTACCTCGGAAACAGCTACTCGGAGTGAACTAGTGGCGTAAGAACATATCTGGCCATATATTGAATTGATAAGAGCCGAGCTAGAGTGTGTAGTGAGTGAGATTGGCTCGGTGTTTGTGCCTATTGATCTGAAGTAGTCACAGTTGTGGGGGACTGACGGCCTGGCGGCCACTCTTAGATATAGCTGTGGCGTTGTGTGGGTGTTGTAGGTGTGGTGCTGGTGGTGTGTGAAGTGGGCGGCCCCTGAGGGTAGTGTAGGGCTGCCCCGGGCGGCGGTGTTGGGCGGGGGGCGCGGCATGGGGCGTGCCCAGGTGGAGGCGGCCAGCGGGCCAGGCCCCTCGGGGCGGCACCCTCCCGCCGGAGGCAGGTAGGCACTGCCCCGCTGCTGCTGCCCTCCTGCTGCTGCTGCTGGTGCTGCTGTTGCTGGTGCTGCTGCTGCTGCTGCTGCCAGCGCGGCCACCACGTGCCTCCCCTGAGGTACAGGTGGTGCTGGTGCTCCCGCCTGGGCATGGCCGCCCCCCGCGGGGCGTGGCTCCCCTGCGCACTACCCCAGGGTCATCATCACTAGAGCAGCCTCCCACCATGGCGGCAGACGGAGGACCAGACATAATGCCAGACCTCTCACACCTCACCGAGGAAGAACGTAGCATCATACAGGATGTTATGAGAAGACAGAAGATTGAAGAACAGAGAGAGAACGAATTGGTCAGGTGAGATATATAACGCACGCACACGCACGCACGCAAGCACGAACACGCACACTTAAAGGCAGGCACACGCACATATGCGCATGCACGCGCATGTGTGCAAACTTAATAAAATGCAACATAACTTCTTCGTTAGACACGAACAATCACTCACGCATACACGAACAATCAAGGTGTTGGTACAGTGCTTTTGGGTATTAAAATTGTTCGTTTGATTCTAAACGCGGGGCCAAGAGCTAGAATACACCCACCCACCCCAACACACACACACACACACACACACACACACACACACACACACACACACACACACACACACACACACACACACACACACACACACACACACCTATCCCACTGACCTACATTATCTCCCGGCATGCTTATCGACCACACCTGCCCTCCCTCACACACGTCCATATCCACATGTGCATCATTTCCACATGTGAATTTATACGTCTTTATGCTTCAGTCATGTGCAAACACATTTTACACATGCAGTTATTGACCACACACACACACACACACACACACACACACACACACACACACACACACACACACACACACACACACACACACACACACACACACAACACACACTCAAGACAGACAGACAGCAACACATACACACACATACACACACACACAGTGAAGAGGCGGGCCAGGAGCTCGGACTCGACCCCCGCAACCTCAACTAGTGAGTACAACAGGTAGTACACACACACACACACACACACACACACACACACACACACACACACACACACATACACACACTCAGAGCACAGACAGACAGACAGACAGACAGACAGACAGACAGACACACACACACACACACACACACACACACACACACACACACACACACACACACATTCACACACAAGGTGTACGTCAGGCCCATACTGGAGTATGCAGCACCAGTATGGAACCCACACCTGGTCAAGCACTTCAAGAAATTAGAGAGATTGCAAAGGTTTGCAACAAGACTAGTGCCGGGGCTAAGGGGCATGTCCTACGAGGAGAGGTTAAGGGAAATCAACCTGACGACACTGGAGGACAGGAGGGATAGAGGGGACATGATAACGACATATAAAGCACTGAGAGTAATTGAGAGGATGGATAGGGACAGGATGTTTCAGAGGTGAGACATAGCAACAAGGGGTCACATGTGGAAGCTGAAGAGTCAGATGAGTCGCATGGATGTTAGGAAGTACTTCTTTAGTCATTGAATTGTCAGGAAGTGGAACAATCTGGAGAGATATAGTGGAGGCAGGATCCATACATAGTCTTAAGAAGAGGTTTGATAAAGCTCATGGAGCAAGAAGAGAGTGGACCTAGTAGCGACCAGGAGAAGACGGGGCCGGGAGTTATGCTCAACCCCTGCAACCACAAATACGTGAGTACAAATAAATGAGTACATTGGCACACACGCACACACGCACACGCACACGCACACAAACACACACACACACACACACACACACACACACACACACACACACACACACACACACACACACACACACACACACACACACACCACACCGCACACAAAACACACACACTACAACCACACACACACACACACACACACACACACACACACACACACACACATCACACACACCACACACTACACAGGCTTACCTTGGACGTGTACTAGAGAACGCAGCACCAGCATATAACCCACTCACCTGATCAAACAGAGAGGAACTTGAAAAAGGTTGAGACATTTGCTACAAGGTTGACCCTAGAACCACAATGGCTTCGATACCAAGATGGGATGAGAAAACCAGTTCTTCCATCTTTAGAAGACCGGAGAACCAGAGGAGACATGATCACAGCTTACGAGATACTCAGAGATAGACAACATTAACAGGAATAAATAGATGGGAGACAACAGGAAGAGGTGGCATGGCTGGACAGTAACAGCCCAAATGAGCTAAACGAAAAAAAAAGGAAAATATTTTAGGTTTTCGACTCCCTCACAAAAAAAGCGCTTTAAGATTTGAAGAAGACTCGGGTGGATTTTCAGTAGAGCTTAAAATCACTCCACGGGTACTCTTGTTTAATGCTGGGTGAGAATATGCAGTGAAGAACCCAGCGGCGGACCTCCTCAGGCGCTCTCTGCACAGCTTTATCAACCCATACTTGATAGGGGTTTACCTGTGAAACATTGTCCCTACAATGGCTTATTCTGCAAGCTGTATCTTATCTTGAGTGTATAAGATACATGTGTTACACTTGGGTGTCCTTATTTGCCTAAACGCTTCGCCTGCGCAGGAGACTTCTTCAGTCGAATGAAAAAGAGATTTAATACTGGAAACAGAGGGTGAGGTGGAGAGGCTTGGTAGGTGTTCAGTCCCTCAGGCTTGGTAGGTGTTCAGTCTCAGGCTTGGTGGAAGGTGTTCAGTCCCTCAGGCTTGGTAGGTGTTCAGTCTCAGGCTGGGTGGAAGGTGTTCAGTCCCTCAGGCTTGGTAGATGTTCAGTCTCAGGCTTGGTAGGTGTTCAGTTTCAGGCTTGGTGGAAGGTGTTCAGTCCCTCAGGCTTAGTAGGTGTTCACTCTCAGACTTGGTAGGTGTTCAGTCTCAGACTTGGTAGATATTCAGTCTCAAGCATGGTACGTGTTCAATCTCAGACGTGGTAGAAGGTGTTCAGTCCTTCAGGCATGATAGAAGGTGTTCAGTATCTCAGGCCAGGTAGAGGGTGTTCAGTCCCTCAGGCCAGGTAGAAGGTGTTCAGTCCCTCAGGCTTGGTAGAAGGTGTTCAGTCCCTCAGGCCAGGTAGAAGGTGTTCAGTTCCTCAGACTTGGTAGAAGGTGTTCAGTCCCTCAGGCTTGGTAGAAGGTGTTCAGTCCCTCAGGCTTGGTAGAAGGTGTTCAGTCCCTCAGGCTTGGTAGAAGGTGTTCAGTCCCTCAGGCTTGGTAGAAGATGTTCAGTCCCTCAGGCTTGGTAGAAGGTGTTCAGTCCCTCAGGCTTGGTAGAAGGTGTTCAGTCCCTCAGGCCTGGTAGAAGGTGTTCAGTCCCTCAGGCTTGGTAGAAGATGTTCAGTCCCTCAGGCTTGGTAGAAGGTGTTCAGTCCCTCAGGCTTGGTAGAAGGTGTTCAGTCCCTCAGGCCAGGTAGAAGGTGTTCAGTCCCTCAGGCTTGGTAGAAGGTGTTCAGTCCCTCAGGCCAGGTAGAAGGTGCTCAGTCCCTCAGGCTTGGTAGAAGGTGTTCAGTCCCTCAGGCTTGGTAGAAGGTGTTCAGTCCCTCAGGCTTGGTAGAAGATGTTCAGTCCCTCAGGTTTGGTAGAAGGTGTTCAGTCCCTCAGGCTTGGTAGAAGGTGTTCAGTCCCTCAGGCTTGGTAGAAGGTGTTCAGTCCCTCAGGTTTGGTAGAAGGTGTTCAGTCCCTCAGGCTTGGTAGAAGGTGTTCAGTCCCTCAGGCTTGGTAGAAGGTGTTCAGTCCCTCAGGCTTGGTAGAAGGTGTTCAGTCCCTCAGGCCTGGTAGAAGGTGTTCAGTCCCTCAGGCTTGGTAGGTGTTCAATCCTTCAGGCCTGGTAGGTGTTCAGTCCCTCAGGCTTGGTAGAAGGTGTTCAGTCCCTCAGGGCTGGTAGGTGCTCAGTCCCTCAGGCTTGGTAAAAAGTGTTCAGTTACTTAGGCTTGGTAGAAGGTGTTCAGTCCCTGAGGCTTGGTAGGAGGTGTTCAGTCCTTCAGGCTTGGTAGGAGGTGTTCAGTCCTTCAGGCGTGGCAGAAGATGTTCAGTCTCAGGCTTGGTAGAAGGTGTTCAGTCCCTGAGGCTTGGTAGGAGGTGTTCAGTCCTTCAGGCTTGGTAGGAGGTGTTCAGTCCTTCAGGCGTGGCAGATGTTCAGTCTCAGGCTTGGTAGAAGGTGTTCAGTCCCTGAGGCTTGGTAGAGTGAACACGGAGAATGTATTAACCAGGGAGGTGGTGGAGAAGAACTCACTAGCTGTGAACCACTGAGGAGGACCCCAAATGGGAGTCGAAATACACAGATTACCTTTCATTTGTTTTCCGTATTTCTGTCTCCATGCGGGGTATTACTTTTTAAAAGCATGTAAATAAGATTCCAAATAAACAGGCAAGAAATGCAGAGGCGGGGCCCCAGAACTAGATATTAACCCTCCTTGATACTGGTGAAGGAATGTTAATGCCAGGGATGGGAGCTACGACTCCGCCTACGGGTTTAGCTCTTGTCAATATAATACACACTTTAATCTTGCAGAATACACATGGTCTACACATAGGCATGCATCCATGCTTACACAATGTACGTGCACACACAGTACACATATACAAAGCATGTATACACATGGTGCATATTTGTAGTGTATATTTTGTATATATACGTATGGTTATATACACATGGTTATATACACATTTATATACAAGCAGTAAAATCATAGAATTGAACAGAAAAGCCAGACACAACTATTCTCGTGTAAGAACAACGGCTCAACGATAATTTGAGATAACATCGAAAGCCAAATTCTTATATTGCTACATCAGGAGGTAGACAACAGTAAAAAGGACTAGATAATCTGGCTGAAGAAGGAAGTAGAGCTCACAAGATATTCCAGGAAATCTTTGAGGAGCTCAGCAAGAAACTTAAGGAGGTGTTCTTGGAGTAAATAAGGACATTACCAGAGAGCCAGAGAGGTAGAGTGCACTAGCGAGTGATGGACACAGTGCATACAACTGGGGAAGAGGTGAGGAAACTAATGTGCAAGCTAGAGACCTCGAAGGCAAAGAGACCAGATTATATCTCTGTGGTCCTGAGAGAGCAGCAGCAGGAGCACTGTGAGAGCCACTAGCCACTGTTTTCAACAAGTCAGTTGACATAGGGAAACTGCCAGTGGTGTGGAAGAGAGCAAATGTAGTCCCAGTATTAAATAATGGAGACAGAGAGGTAGCGTTAAACTACAGACCAGTGTCACTGAAAGGCACAGTATGTATGGTGATAAAGATTGTCAAGAAGAGAGTTGTTTATAAATTCATTCCT